AAAAAATAAGGATAAATTTATTCACAAAATTTTTAATTTAGACAAATTATTTCAAATTTAACATGTAACGTCATTTAATATTAGTAATATATTAACAATAAATTTATCAATGACACAACAAATTAATAAATTACTAACATCAAATAACATTACAAGTTAAATTTGAAATGATTTGTCTAAATTAAAAATTTTATAGATGAATTTGTCTCTATCTTTCATTTGAGAGTGGATCCGTACTTATTACCTTACTTTTGGAATGAATTTGGGTATACTGGTTAATTACTTTTTGTTTGTCAAACCCTTTCTTTTTTTTTTTTAACTCAAAATGGAAAACATAGATTTAAAAGGACATTTGTTTGGTTTTAAAGTTTAAACAAGTGTATAATTCACTTGTTAAATGTTATGGGCTTATTTGGAGACTCCAATATTATAAAATAATAATAATGTTGTGTATACATAAATATATAAAACCTTTATTTCATCAAATAGTTTTATAGTTTGTTGGTCTATTCTCCTCAGAGTACAACACTTCCAATGACTGGATTTTATTCAAAATACTCAGAATCACTTACCTCTTAAACGACACTGTTTTATGTGCATTGTTTCTTTCCTATTGGATATCAGAGAATAAACTAAAAAAGTGTTTCGATAAAACTTCCAAGTATTAGATGCCATTATCTCTTTTTTATCTCAAAATTATTCATGTTGCTTTTCAAAAAATTAGGTATTCAACAATGATTTTTGATTTTGAGTTCCTTCAAGATAAATTTGAATGGACACCAACCAAAGTAAATTCTAGTATAAATAATAAAAAAATGTGCATATTTTTATATTGAATCTTCACTTTTTTAATTTTCAAGATTGACACGTAAAACTTTTCAATCCACGTCAAAACATTATTCAAATACTATTAAGTTTGTAGTTCCTAAAATTGCTTGAATTCCTAAAATTTCGATAAGAAACGAATAAAGTTGAGTGTTAAAAAAACATGCAAAACCCATGAGAGTGCATGATCTTTTCTTGTGTGGAAGGGAATTTAGCCCATTCATAATGGATGGGTTTCTGCCTTAATATTTTGGCCAATTTGTATATTATTTTTTAATTAATACTCTTTATAGTTTTGATAACTAATCAATATTCTCTATAATTTGAAATTCTTGAAAATTCTTGAATTATTAACAAAATCATAATATAAATAAAAAAATTTGATCGTTAAATTTTAAATTTTTTATATATTTTAAATTATGAAAAGTATTGATTGCTTTAATTTTTTTTAACATATAATTAATGGGAAATGGTGGGAGAGGAATATTTTACAAAAAACAGGTGTTTCTTGCGGTTTGAAGCATGGTGGAGAGCATGGCTAGGCGCACCTCATCCACTGCAGGCTGGTGGTGCACCAAAATATGATAGCCGGCACAAAAGACGAGTGCGGGCTGCCGATTGATGACTCCTATGACATTTATTGGGTTATTGCACTAATCATCAAATCTTGTGGAGTGGACCATTCAGCTTGGTTATTTTATTCTAACGGTTCCAAAGACAAGGGAATAAATGGGTTCATAAATTAAATAATAGAACATATATGTAATGGACTAACACTACCTTTGTTAGGTCAAGACAAGAGAATGATATTGTTGTTTGGAATTTAATGGGGAGGGTTTCCTCCTTCTCTTATGAACATTACTCTTAAGAAAATAAATTAATTTATCTTGTGACATTAGTGGGTTAGTGTATACTAACTCTTGTATCCTCTCCTTGGCCAAATTCAAGTTGAAGTTCAGGCAACCTATTTTTCTAGCACTTCCTGGTACCTACCTTACCCCATTTCCTTCCACTCCACTTCCAAATACAACAACCAATCTTTATTCAGAAGTTGCAATATTCACAGTGATAAAGACAATTAATACATGCAAATACATAAATTCATTGAGAAATATCAAAGTCTTAATTATGTATTTAAGTATCAATGGAGGTCATTTTGATTTTGTCAAAGTCATTCACTATCTCTCTCACATCCAAATACAATGAATAATGAAAAAGAACGCGAATATTATAAATATATAAAAATCGAATAGGTGTTACTGATTGAGTATGAGACTCGGGCTTACTTAATATCAAATTTCAACATCAAATTATGATATGATGGAGATGAGTCAATGTTAGACAAGAGCTGAATGAAAGTTGGATTCTCTTGGATTTCTGTTTCATATCAAAGGTCCCACTTCATCTTTTTTTTTTTTTACAGATTCCATGACCCACACCCATGTCTTGGTTTAATCATATCATATCATATTCCAATAATAATCAAATTTAGTATTAGCTGGCTAGTTACTATTCCTTTGTCTATAATTTTCACTCGAGTTAGTTTAAATGAAGTTAAATATTAATTTTGGTCCTTTAATTTTAAATTTTTATATATTTTCATTCATCAACTTTTTTATGTATTTTTTAGTCTCTTAATTATGAAAAATATATATTTTTTAATTTTTTCATTGATTAATTCATTAAATCTATTT